GCTACCTGAGGAGTTCAATTTCTTTCAAAAACTTCCATTTATGAAATATGGGAACATTTCATTATATGAGTATTCTTTTCTTTTAAAGGACTGTATCTCACCTCATGCCAAAAGAGAACCTTTCTTTTCTGTTAGCTATAGAGTCTCAAGAAACCAGTGGATCATTGCCCGCTCTTGTAAGAAATGGAATTGGCTGAAAGCATCAGCTAATAATAGGAATAAAATCATGTTTTAAAAATTCACCCTGGATAGTGCTCTTTGGTACTCAAAGAAAAAATACAGGTTTCTTGCAGTTTTAAAAAATTATATGACATCAGCTGAGTATTAAGCATCATGCCTTTATGCTATACACCCATCTTATGCAAAGTTATAGATAAGTGTGAAGGGTAAAATCATTAAGATGATTCAATACACATATTTTTAAATAAATTAGAGAAAATCACTGTCCATTTTCAATGCACACAATATACCACCATCGCATCAAAAGAAGCAATACACTTCCTGATAAAACAACAGAACTCTTAACTTTTGATGCTGCACAAATACCAATGTATAGCAATGACGTCATGAAACACCATTTTTGGCCAGGGGTATGGTGGGATGAGGTGCCCGGTAGCATAATGGTTACACATTGGGCTATGATGCGAAAGGTATGCAGTTTGAAACCACCAGCTCCCAGCTCCGCGGGAGACAGACAGGACTTTCTACTCTAAAGAGTTAGGGTCTGGGAAACTCACGGGGCAGCTCTGCCCTGTCCTGCAGAGCTGCTCTGCGTGGGTACTGGCTCAATGGCAGTGAGAATGGTGAGATCAGCAGATGCTACCCGCAACATGACTGTTCCCATTTCCAGATCCCAAAGTGGACACTAACACAGTCCTCTCCACGGGAACGTGACTTCAAAACCCCATGAGCATTTGCTTCCAAGATGATCCTCAAAGTCTCAAGTTGAGTACTATACTTTGACGCTGCCCTTTGGGTTCAAATACGAAGTCACACTAAGAGCCTTGTAGTATGAGCACCCATTTCTACCCCAAGGCTTTAAGCCTGGGAAGACTCTCAAAATATCCAAGCCTTCTCCAAGCCCTAAGATGCCCTAAGGAGACTCAGTTAGGATCTTTATTAAATTTCTCTAAATAAACACTTATTTGCACAACCCTCACAATAGCTACCACAGTAAAATATGAAACTTCTGATATAACTGACGATCTTCCTAGGATTCTGTATCTGAAAATTCCTCTTACCCAGTTCTTATCTTCTATTGAGATTCACTTTCTCGCTGCCATCGAGTCAAAGCTGCCTCAAAGCTGCCCTGAAGGACAGGTTAGAACTACCCCTGTGAGTTTCTGAGCCCATAATTGTTTGACTGGACTAGAATGCCCAGTCTTTCCCCTCAGGGCGGCTAGTGGTTCTGAACTGCTGACCTTACGGACTGCATTTCAACATATAATCACTACACCATTAGGTTTTGGTAACCTAAAAGCTGAGAGTGCCACAAATGTTCCACTACCCGATGTGTTAATAGGATCTCTCCAACTCCAAAGTGAAAATTACACAACAGAAGAAGTTGTCTTGCTCACCCC